TGAGATTGGGGGGCATTATGCGAGAGTTTGGGGAGACTTGCAAGGGAATGATGTCTACATCTATGAAATTCTTAAAGCATAGTTTTTTGAAAGGAAACAAAAATGCCAACTGTATGAGGTGATGGAATGTAATTTGATTGCTTTTTTGGTTTCAAAATGCACATATACAGTAAAACACACTTTAACTTTAACCACACACAGTTTCTATTTCCCAGTTTTGTCTCAGAAAAACCTAGAAATGTGTAAATAAAAGCCTTCTATATTTAGCACATCAATATATGGATAAATAAAGGAAAAAATTCAGTGACCTAATGTGGACAAAAGAACAGAGTTCAAGGACTCAGCCATGAGAACAGAAGGAAGAGAAACCTCTGTCCTTAGTGTCTTGGATAAATTTCGAGAGGAAGTGTTGATTTAAATGGAGCAGGGTTTTTGTTTAATATCGTGTAGAATCCATGTGGAGGAAGAAGACATGAAGGTGTGAGAGTCCAATAAATATGTATGATATTTATATTAAATACATATATATTTCTATAATTCAGAGTACTACAAAACAGCAAAAACTTAGTTAATAATATATTATGTCCTGACAAACTGACTCCAAATTCCACATTGCTGGGTGGGGATTAACTATGTAATGGACTGCAGTTCAGAGATTTTTAAACATGACACGGTACAGGATGTTTCCTTTGGCTTTTGTTATGCTCCCCTAAGCCAACCTAGGGTGACTATTAGCAGAAATATTAGAATATTCAGGTGAGAAACAAGACAAAGCCTGTGGAGCATTCTTGCCTTTTTACAGTGGGTTTTTTTGTTTTTGCCTTTTTTTGTTTTGTTTTGTTTGTTTTTTCTACAAATTGAAGTTCATCAAGGAACAGTTTTAATAAAAATTTAAGCATATGTGGTAATGAGGACAGGAGGGAGAAGAGATAGAAATAGGTGGATTTGGGGAAAGAGACTACACATTCATGATGTGAGAATAAGCGTCTCAAAACAGGAAGACACTTTTATCCTGTTTATAAATTCTTTACATTTCCAGGTATATACAGATAAAGGGTAAGAAAAGCACAGCAGAGAGATTATTAAATTAGTAAATTTTAACCTTCATTTGATGAAGAAAACCAAGGGCATATTTTGTGATTGTTATGATGCTTATTAGTAGTAATATTTAATAATGATGGACTAAGTTCCCCAGAGTGACCATGTCTGCTCGAGTAGGGCACTTATGAGAATTAAATTAAGTAATACCTGTAAAACATATAAAATAGTGTCTGGTATGTGATAATGACAGGAAGGCCACAGTAAGTGATAACCACTGTGAGTCCCATATTACAGTTGGGAAATAAGATGAGAAATGTTTTGCTTGCGACGTAGTTGCATTCTTTGTGCATATGTGTGTGTTTGTTGGGGGGGTGAGAGATAGAATGCACACAACACAGGAAAAGAGGTGAATAGATACGGGCATCACATCAGGGAGTTGGTCAGCACAGTTTGGAATAGGTTTAAGCGATGTTAAGTAATGGTAATTACGTGTAGTTAAAGACTAGAGAAATCTAGTTTGGCAGGAATAGTCTGAGAAGTAATTATGAAAAAGGAATTAAATTACTTAAAGTCTAGATCAATAAAATTGTGGTTATTCCCTAGGACTTAATGGGTATGCCAACCCAGGAGATGACATGAAAAGAGGAAGTGGTGTGATTTGTAGACATGAACAGACAAACCAAGAATGTCTATGAAGCTCATTGGAAGCAGAGGGGAGTTGGCCAAGTGCCTAGCTTGTTCTGTGTGGGCAACTGGAAATCCTGATTGTTTTGGGGAGAGTTCTACGATATAACTAACTTTGGGAATATAAATCGCAATACAGCATTCATGCAAATCAGGAGCCAGGGGGGCTAGGAGTTACAAACAGCAATAAGGAATCTGCAAAATACAGTGTAAATGGCAGCCGGGGTTACAGAAGATGGAGGAAATGTGTGATCTTGGAGACTTGAAAATGTGCTTTACTAGCAGCATTTTCTAAAAGTAGACACTTGGTTATTTCTTCAGAACAGAACATTAATTGATTCCCTAATGACATAAAGACATCCATCAAGCCAACCTAAATTTAGTGACACTACTGGAAACTTCCATTGAAAGAATTGTGTTGTCAATTTTCTTTCAGTGTTTTTGTCTTTTTCTACTGTCTGAACTGTTTCTGTGTTTTCCAGATTGCCAAGTCACTTCTTTCCTTTTCTTAAAATAAATTTTATTAAAATTAGAAACAATATTATTTTGTATGTCAATCCCAGTTCCCTCTCCCTTCCATCCTCCCATGCCCCCCACATGTCACTTCTTTCTATCCATAAAAATATAGTATACTATGTCAACTTTTAGTCAAGCTTAGTAGATTCTGCTTTCCTTCGCTGTGCGTCACTTATGGGACTTACTAAACACAGCTGTGGTTGGTCCACTGATGAAGTCTTCCTGGGACAAGAACTACTTTTGTCTTGTCTTACTGCTTCTCTCATTCTGTGGTATATACTGTATCTTGGATTCTTGACAAATATTTTCCAAAGTAGCAAATGGGTAAAACAATGAATTGTGTCACTAATTGGCACACCTTCCTTGTTGAAGGAGCTGAGGATTATTTGTCCAAAACAGAAATATTCATACTGTTCCCTGTAAAGTAAGTGTGGTAAGGTCCCTGATTCATTGACTCTAAAGGCACAATGTGTGGTTAATGATTTTTAATTTTCTTGAACTCTCTGAAATCTAGGTAGGGTCTTATGAACCCCACTATCTGTATGTTATATGAGTCTTATTTGAGTCAAATAAGCCCTTATAGTAACATAGCCATTATGAAATAGCATAATTCAGTATATAGCAATTACTTTCAGGACTCCATATTTTCTGAAAATCTATGAAATTTTGTATGAATATTTGTAGGTAAAAGTGATACTGACATTGACAGAAGATACATAAATTAATTAATTCTCAGATTTATACAGTTATTAGATGATAATACCAATTCATTTCTGTGTGATACTGAATTAGATTGTGGGAATAAAAATGTTTGGAGTCATAAGGAATTTTTGTTTACATGCTTTTCTTTGTCTGTTACTTTAATGTTTTATATTTCAGATGTAAATGCTTGAAACTGTAAAATTTTGGATTTTAAGAATATAAGGATGAATTGAGAGCCTCCATATGCCTGTCATGCTACCAAGTATGTCATTAGCTAAGTGTTGACTAATTACTCATTACTCCTAATCCCATAAAACTTATCTTTAGGAAAAAAACCACCCATGTGCATAGGATACACATGAAACCCATGCATGCAAATACACATTAGTGACACATTGATGATACAGACTGAGCTCTTGGTTATATTAGAGATAAGCACATATAAAGAGCATCTAAACATGAATCTGATAAACATTCACCTAAATATGGCTGTACTTATTACTAATGCTACTCAGCAGATGATTCTAAGATTGTAGAAGGGAACTTAGCCACTGTGTACAGAATATCCAGTGATGAGGTCCTGGAAGGGGCTCCTTAATCACATCAGGCACAAATCATCCAAGACTAATGGCCTCTGATTTATTCTGTGATAAATTTATTACATGAGTATAAAATCTCAGAGTGTATATGACTTCATCTTCACGCATTACCCTGCTGGTTAAAGAGACCTGTATTGCTGTAGAGAAGCCAATGTACTATTTCATATTTTCTACTCTCCTGGGAATAGGGAGACTTGATAAGTGTGGCCATGACCATTGAACATTAAAATAGAAGAAAGTGCTGTGATTTAAATTGAATTTTTAGCCAAAGGGAATGGAATTGAGATTCAACAGATAATTTAAATTCCCATTAAAATAGTCACTGGAGCTACTGGACATGACAGTGGGTGAAAAATGCAGAGGGATAGTGGAATCTGACCATTTTCATGCATTTAAAACAAGTTTGTAGAGACATACAAAATTTTGAATAGTCTTCAAAGTACCCAAACCTAAGGAAAGTTTGCATTTACCCTAATATTATTTATGGCCAACCAATACATTCAATACTTTATGGAAACTGAGATCAGATGTAATATTTGAAATAAAAAAACAATACTGTCATTGCCATCATAATAAGCCTTTTCTTTTTAGTCAGAAAGATATTTTTGGTGGTAGTACAAATACCACTGAAACACACACAGTCTGTTGAATTCATGATAAGTACCATTTTGTCCAACCTACTTTATGAAATTCTATGTATTTGCTTTTGCTCAAACTGGAATCCACCATTTTAACTGAACTCGGCCTCCTTACCTATATTCAAAAGTATCACAGGCAAAACATGATCTCAAATGACTGTTTATTCATTTATAGAAATTAATGAAGCAAGCACTCATTTCCTGGATGGACATGTTTTCAAGGGAAACTATTTTATGTTCAGAGGTTGAAAAAAAGGAAAAACACATGAGTCTTTCACCTTATGGCTTTTAGATTCTTTGGATCATAAAAGTTGAACAAATTTTAGTGTCTTTTGTAAACCTCTTGCTTCCTAGAATTTTTTTTGCTAATGTACAAAAAGAATGGGATTACATTTCAGTGCGTTAAGTGTAACTTGATGTTATTCAAAGTAGTTTGCTTCAACTTACAGAGGCAGTTCCAGGAGAGAATGCTAAGACAAATGTTTGTGCATTGGTGGTTACAACTAGAGCGAGTTCATAGCCTTCCAAAGTGTCTGTTTGAGTTGGTATAACTTTACCAAGGACTCTATTAAAATCCAGTCACACTGATTTATAGTTACACTCAATCGATGGCAGGTATGGCAGGGATCATCCAGTTTTATGAGAGGCAGGAGCCAGACTTCCTGGACGTAATAGAGTTCAGATGCTGCCTCAGACAACAAGGAAGATGAATCTTCATACAGAACTACCACTCTCTGAGAATATATAAAGAGGCAAGACCAATGCGTGTCAGAATCACACCGAGCTGCTCACGTCTTCTCTTAGACCTCGATCCCTCTTGAAAGCTCACCATGGCTAGCCGTAACAACTACTCTGCAAACTGCAGCTCGGGATCACGGAGAAATTCCTGCCACGTCCCAGCCCACCCTTCCATTGCCCTCTGTTCTACAAACATGGGCTGTGGAGAGGTTTTCTGCATACCCAGCAACTGTCAAGATCCTACCTGGGTCATGGACAACTGCCCGGAGACCTTTGGAGAACCTTCTGGTGGCCAGCCAGGCAGCCATGAAGCCAGCAGCTATGAGAACTCTTGCTGCTCATCTGCATACTATGTGCCCAGACCCTGCCAGGGCTCTGGGTACATTCCTGCTTCCTCCATCATCTCCGGTGTTTGCCTCCCCGCATCCTGCAGGCCTGTGAGCTGTGTGTCTAGCAGCTACCGGCCAGTGAGCCCTTTCTTCAACAACTGCCATCCTGTGGGCTGTGTGCCTGGTTGCTATCGCCCGCTTCCCTGCGTATCCAACAGCTGCAGACCCCTGGGCATTGTCCCTTATGGATGCAGGCCTTCCGGTTGTACGTCTTACGGCCCTCAAGCCATTCACATTGTGTCAAACAGCTTCAGACCTCTGCAACCGGCCTCTGGAGGTTGCCAACCAGTGACCCGTGTGTTCGGCACTTGTCGTCCATCTTGCTCTGCTCAGTGAGGGCAGTAGCCTCCTTGGGAACCACAATGGTGTGGATCCAGGATTCAAATCTGGACTCTTGTTTCTCTCTGAGTACTAATTGCTTTTTCTTGTTTGCACTGTATCTGAGTTAATGCAAACTTCCTTTGACATTGTGAATTGCTTTTATGTTTCCTTGGTGTAAAATCTCTGCCCACACCGTGGTTAATATTTCTCAAGTGGGAGCACTATGTACCTGATACGATCCATATTATAATAAATGAGACTAATTCAGAATTAAGAATCCAGTGCATTGGTTTATCTTTCATTACATCATGCTAACCCAGAAATGGGCACCCTCAAATGCTTGCCAGGTGATGTTGCTGTACCATGTGTTATTGTCTGACACAGGGCAATGGTTTAGCATTTTAGAAGTATGATGACTTCAGACAAATATGAGGAATGAAGAAACGATGGCCTTTGGGTAAGTCATGGTCTAAAAGGAAACTTAGCGGTATTCTCTTACCTCTGATTTCTAGGGCCCATGTCTCTGGCAGAATGTTCTCCAGTTGCAAACCCAGCAATAAGCTTTTGCTTAAGCCTGTGTGGCTTCCTTTGATCTGATCCCATAAGGCATGGCAAGTGCTTCCTTTGCTGCCTTTGCCTCTCCTGCTTCTCTGTGCTTATCCCCTTCTTCTCAGGACTGCATGCACCGCGCTCTTGCACTCTCATCTAGCATGCGATGACTCATGAATGTATTCTTTTAAAATTATCATCACCATTTTACATATGCCACCGTCAAGAACAGTTTGCCCTTCTCCATTTGCTGGGATTATCTCAAAACACAATCCAAACCCATTAACTAACCTTAGACTTAAGCAACAACTAAAAGCTACTGAACACTCATTGTATGGTGTGTCAGGCAAAAGAAGACAGATATGGGAAAACTAATATTGAATTATCAGAGCTTGCCAGAGTCATACATTACAGCATAAATCTTAGTTAAATACCATTAATTAAATAAAGCTAATGTATACATACGTAAATGTTGGTCTTTGTGGGCTACTGGAAATGACTGTCTTCAAATGCAGAAATAAAAGAGGAAAAGAGAAAAGATCAAAATCAGACTCAAGTGTCAACAATCAAAATGAGTTTTAAAATTACTGTCATGGGTAATTTCACAGCTATGATAAAAAAACAATAGGGCAAAACAGAGACATGGGAATCCAATGAAATGATTATTTATTCATTCATTTATCTATTTTGTACCCTGACACAGTTTCCCCTCCTCCTTTCCTCCCAGACCGCCCCCCTAGCTCCTGTTCACATCCACCACAATCCATTTTTCCTCCACTTCTGTCAGGAAATGGCAGGTCTCCCGTGGATAGCCACAAAACATGGCATATCAAGTTACAGTAAGACTGGGTTTTCAGGATACTAGGAACTACTTGAGAGAGAGCAGGCCAAGGACACCGGCTCATTAAAGGTGCCTTAATTTTGAGGTCACAGAGCACTTCTACATCCCTGTCGTATCTTCCAGAGAAACTTGACCTGATAAATATTGAGGACCAGAAGCTAACTGACTGGGTTTTTTTTTCTTCCAGAAAAGGGATGTGTCTCTGTTTTACAGTTCTTATCCCACCTATAAATTTCTCAGCACTGACACAGAAAGGAAGTACTTCCTACTATGAATTTTATTTATTATTTATTCATATGTATTTATTTTTCAGTGTTGGATGTGCACCTAAAACACCTCTGTATGTGAGGTAAAAGCTCTGCCCCCTACGTTATAGCCCAAGCTCCAGAAGGGCAGAGCAGTTCCTACCATGTTCCTATTGGTGGTGTTGTAAAGTCTGTTCTAAATCAGTAATTTCCTCCACCTGCTGGATTTTTTTGAGTTGGTGGCATCTGCACCTTCAATTTCTGAATACTCTCCAGGCAATTTACTGACACCCGACCTTCACATAGCCCAGTCTGGCTCTATGTCAGACATGCAGCTGTTGTAGATGTGGCTAAAATGCTTGCTTTGACACCATTTCAGAGTGAGATGAATTGGTCTAGAACACATAGTCTATTCTGTGCTAAAGATATTATTGTGAATACCGATCCATGTACTTATCCTACTTGGTTTTGAACTTCAAAATGAAATTGTGAAGTGTTTTCCCAAAACACGCCATGGATTTTTTTTAAACTAAGAATCCTTTGACACTCTTCCAACTTGTTATGTGAACCAACAGTCTGTTTCCTTGACTTTACTTGAGCAAAACATGCTAAACTTATAACTGGCAAGAACATAAACATTGCATTTTCAAGAAATTGCTACAGGCTGAGCATGAGAAGTATGAAGAAAGAAAGCTCATGATACACTGGACATAAGAAAAAGAAACGATAAAGACATAATTAAGAGATGTTGGCTAAGAACTTTCAAATTGAAACAAAAACCACTGAACGTTCATAAAGTGTATGCACATTGATAAATGAAAATAAAAACAAGGATAACAAAACGAACACAAGGTGAGAATACAATTACAAACAGCAGAAATCAGAGTGAAAACCTCTTCGAAGCATATTGGTATGAGCTACCATGAACTTGCTCACAGAAATCACAACTACAAGAAGCAGTCATGGTAACATGACGATTGCTGGTTGTCCCATTCTTTTTGACATAGATGCATCTCATGTTGTCTTATGTGTATTCACGACTCTCTGCATAGGATGCATGCCTGCGAGGCACAGAAGTAAGAAAAGTCCTTGGGTCCCTTGGAACTAGAGTAATGCATGGTTCTGAGCCACCACGTGCTTGTTGAGAATGACTTTCTGATCCTCTGGAAGAGCGTCTTAGCCATTGGGCTGTCGCTCCAGTCCCACAGTTGTCACAGTATTATTTATTTATATTCTTTTTTATTAGTTTTAAATTTAAATTAGAAACAAGTTTGCTTCATATGTCAATTTCAGCTCCCTCTCCATCTCCCTCCCCTCCTCCCCTGCCCACCCCCAACCTCCCCAGCCTCCCCCCAATCCTCACTCTGTTCTCCAGGGAGGGTAAGGCTCTCCATGGGGCATCTCCAGGGTCTCTCATTTCATCCAGGGCAGGCCTAGACCCTCCCATAAGTGTCCAGACTGAGAGAGCATCCCTCATTGTAAGATGGGCGCCCAAAGTCCATTTGTATGCCAGGGATAAATACTGATCTACTACCCAAGGCCCCATAGATTACCTGGGCCTCATTCAGGGGGTCTGGATCAGTTCCAATGCTGGATTCCTAGTCATCAGTCTGTGCTTCAAGAGCTCCCCCTTGTTCAGGTCAGCTGTTTCTGTGGGTTAAACCAGCCCAGTCTTGACCCCTATGCTCATCAGTCCTCCCTCTCTGTCACTGGGTTCCTTGAGTTCAGCTCAGTGTTTAGCTGTGGGAGTCTGCCTCTGCTTGCATCAGCCATTGGTTGAATGTTCTGTTTCCCAGAGTCTCTGGCAGTGGGATTGTAGGCTGGCACTCCCCTGATTCATGTCTAAAACCCATATAAGAGTGAGTACATACCGTGTTTCTCTTTACATTCTTATTTAAATCATCACATTGTTTTACTTTACTGGATTCAGCTCCCTGAATTACCCAAGGAAGTCTATTTAAAGAGATACACTCAGTGTTCAGACTGCAACCATAGGCAGTGTGTCACTGTTTCATCTCATTAATACAGTTGTGTACTTTGAAATCATTTCAACATGCTAAATTGCTACGTAAACAACAGATTCTTGCCTCATGCCAAGTTCTCTCTGGGTACTAGGGATATTCACAGTAAACAGTTCAATCACAGAGAGGGTTAGAAAATAAGTGGTAAATACTGATAAAAACATAATGATATAGGAGTGTACTAAGCAGTACAACGAGGGAATGAGTGCTACTATAACAAAGAGAGGTGATTAATTTTAGAAAAGTCAGAAGTTTTGCGTTGTTAACAACTGACAACTGTGGATTTTCACCTCCTCTAAATCCAGTCCCCTGGTCCTACCCCCAGCTCTGTAGCAGACCATCTGCTGTGGCCTCCCCTTCTTCGCTGCCCCTGGCTCCAGCAAATCAAACAAATCTTCTCCTCCAGACTTCCTATTCCCCGTCTCCAGCAGGCATTCCCTGGGAACATGCCAGTCAAGCCTGCCAGAGAAGCAATTAGGCCACCGAAGCCGCAGGTAGGCAAGCTTCAGATTTTACTCTCCCTGTTCTCCTACAAATTCTGCAGCAGACAACCTGCTGTGTCCTCTCCTCTCTTCCCCCTTTTGCTGAGAACTAAATATATCTTGGTGGAACACTGTTTCCTCCCTCCTGTGGATCCCTTAGCCCCACTAACACATCCTTATTCCTGAGCGTCAGCTCCAGTAGATACTGGTCACACCTGGGAAGACCCAAGAATTCCTTACTAGGAGAAACAGAGTCACCAAAGTCTCCTAAAATCCAGAGATCCCAACAAAGACCAAGGAACAAAACACTAACGTGACAAAAACAAGACCAGGAACCAACACCTAGAATTACAGCTTTCCCAAACCCAGGTGCCTAGATGCCAGTGTAACTGCACAATCAATAATAGCCGGGACAGTACATCTCCACTAGAGACCAGCAACCCTACCCTAAGTATTCCAAGATAGCTGAAGCATAGGAAAAAGACCTTAAAACTTCCTTTATGAATATGATAGAGGTTCTTGAGGAAGAAATGGATAAACCCTTTAAATAAATCTATGAAAACACAAACAGTGGGAGCAAATGAATAAAACCATTCAAAGACCGGGAGTGGAAATAGAAACAATAAAGAAAACCCAAACTCAGGGAAAACCGGAAATGAAAAATTTACGAACTTGGATAGGAACCTCAGAGGCAAGCACCACTGACAGAATACAAGAGATGGAAGAGATAATCTCAGGCATTAAGGACATGATAGAAGAAATGGATACCTCAATCAGAAAAAAAAGTCTAATTCAAAAACCCCAGGAACAAAATATCCAGGAAATCTACGGCAGTGTGAAAATACAAAAATCTAGAAATAATAGGGATAGAAGAATGTCAAAGGCACAGAAAATATTTTCAATAAAAATCCTAGAACATAATTCCCCTAGCCTAAATAAGGAGATGCTTATCAAGGTACAGCAAATCTACAGAACAACAAATACACGGGGTCAGAAAAGAAATTCCTCTTGAAACATAATATTTAAAACACTAATGTATAGAACAACCAAACAAAAAAAACTATTAAAAGTGG